TTTTTTGTTTGTTTGTTTGTTTGTTTAAAAAGTTATGTGAAATTCATCTTGATTTTTAAAGCTGGTTTAATGTAATTCAAGTTGAAATGACTTGTACAACCAACTGAGCTATATATATATATATATATATATATATATAATATGTATTAGTTATTGATGCTTTAGATTTATTTTTTAATATGTCACATGCAGTGAGTAAATGATGACAGAAGATTAGATTTTTTTTTTTCATTTTAAATTTGTGCTTTAAAAAACTTCTACATATAACTTCTAAAATATTCAGATATGGTATAGCCTATATGACATAATCACCTTGATCTTTTCAACCAACACAATTCTACATAAAAGTTTTACTGAGTCAGTTCATAATTTCCATTTTAGATGTAATTTCCATTATGACCACTAGAATGAATCCTTTCTCTTAATATGGAGAGCATACAAAAAACAAGTGACATGATGCACATAGGAACTGTGGGTCTTAAATTAAATGAAAACCGTTTCAGGTGCTCATCATTTCAAAAATATCAATTGGAGGAGTATGCATGAATATCTTATTTATATTTTTAATATTTTCATAATACCATCTGGCTGGTAATAGGTCCCCTTCGTGACAAGAGAAATTTCAATGCTAGGCCTATATATTAAGCTCCCATTTTAAAGTAAATGAATGAACAGTGACACTTTTATGATTACCTCAGACTGGAAATATGGGTCTGTTGTGTGAGGTTGTTCTCATCACACTCCTGTTCTGTTTTTGTCTCTGATGACTATAACAGAGGGGGGATCCTCATTGTGCAGCCAGCAGATGTTTAATGATGTCATCTTGACATAGTCTTGGCCCTGAGAGAACATAAGCGTGACACAGGATAGAATAAGGACTCATACTTCTTGTCTAAATCTGCGTTTAATTTCTATATGTAACTACACAAAAAACAGACCATGCATATCAGCCATGTGGTAATGTGCCACAACTTTTTTCATTATATGGAAACATAGTGTCAACTCACCATTTACTGTTCTGACTTGGTTGGCAAGCAGATTACGGATAGGATTTTAGTGGAAACATTAAATGTCAGTCTAAGATGTGTTTAGCAGACAGTGTGGTGCTTGATATTCAACAGTTCCAGTCTGAAGAGAAACTTCTCAAAATAATAATTTTGCACATACATTGTTTAATGCAGACATTGTGTTCTGTACAGTTAGTTTTTCATCTTTTTGCTTAAGAATATGACAGTTTAGTTTCTCGTTTTCATGTGTTTCCAGGGCACATATCAAATTCAGATTCACATGAAGGAAATTTTCATGGAAATATGGCTAGATCTTAAATATAGTTTATAGTTAAAATACATATTCATATTCAAAATAATTGCATTAAATACATGTTGTAAAGCTGTTTGTCATTAGCCTACTTATTGTTATTAGCTAGCTATTATGGTGATTAAGGTAACACTTCATTTTACAGTGTCCTTGTTACATGTACTTACTACTGTATATCAATAACAGCAAATTATCCATAATTACATGCAACTAACTAACCCTAAGTAGGCCTACATGTTGTCAATTAATATTACTCAGTACTTAAATGTATAATTACACTGAAACAAGAACACTTTAAATGAAGTGTAACTGTGATTAATTACAATTGCACGAGATATATAGGTATAACAAAGGACTATTTTATAAAGCAGGCCTATTACCAGGTTAACTTGTGGGAGTGAATTGTTCATTTCCACGGTCGCGTTTACTCCGTTGTTTACGGCAGTGAACTTCTGCGCTCCGCTCGCTGTCATGCAGGTGGAATTCAGTCCAGCAGCCGTGTGATTCAAGCACATCAGGACAGACATTCAGTTTGAAGAGAGCTCTTCTCCAAACCTGACTTCATCTCCGAGCATCACATCCACAATTTACCTCATCACAGTCATGGCATCATCAGCACAGCCGAGGAGTTTGAACAGCACGCAGATCGGATACATCTGAACGACGATCTTCAGAGAGACTCGCATCATGCTCAGGTGGTCTGTCTTTCCCACTGAAGGAGATCACACAGGCTGCGTGTGCGAAAGAAAACAGTCGTGTGACTGTTTAGAATATTAATCAGGTATGACACTCTCGTGTGTGATGATGCGTTTAGCTCAGTTGACGCATGTGACGTGTGTGTTATTTTTTTTTTTGTGGAATTCAGTCCAGCAGCCGTGTGATTCAAGCACATCAGGACAGACATTCAGTTTGAAGAGAGCTCCTGTCCAAACCTGACTTCAGCTCCGAGCATCACATCCACAGTTTACCTCATCACGGTCACGGCATCATCAGCACAGCCGAGGAGTTTGAACAGCACGCAGATCGGATACATCTGAACGACGATCTTCAGAGAGACTCGCATCATGCTCAGGTGGTCTGGCTTTCCCACTGAAGGAGATCACACAGGCTGCGTGTGCGAAAGAAAACAGTCGTGTGAATGTTTAGAATATTAATCAGGTATGACACTCTCGTGTGTGATGATGCGTTTAGCTCAGTTGACGCATGTGACGTGTGTGTTATTTTTTTTTTTTGGACCAGACAAGCGGATTTCAGCAATAATACTGAATGTCTGTTATATGTTTACAAATAATCACAGGGTGTTGCGTGAGATTTTTTTAGGCGTAATACTGTATATCAGTGGGATGCTTCATAACTTAGTCAAGGAGCTACATTTTTTTAATCCAAAGCAATTGGCTTTCCTTTTCCCCTCTTTTCTTTTAAATAGATCCTTTTTATAATCATGGAGGAGAGCAATACCCGTGAATCAGTACCAGATTTAAAGGATCTGGAGTTGAAAGTGGGGAGAAAGACCCCAGAGGGGCTCCTGAAGTGGATGAGAGAAGAGCACAAAATGATCTCTCATCATCAGACAGACAATAATGAGACAGAGAAGAAGGGCCTGGATGAGAAGATACGAAAACTTAAAATGGAGATGGTAAGAGCCAATTCTACATATCTATAGCTATTAAACTAATAAATCAACTCATTTCATTTACTTCCATCAAATCTATTATCAATTTATAAACTGTATTGTATTTAACCTCAACCACATTTATACTCTATATCTCAAGCATAAAATGAATGAAGGGTGACAACAGAGTCAAAAAATGTGTATAATATGTGCTAGTTTTATAAATGTGTGTGGATGACTCTCATAGCAGATATGCTACGTGGTGAATTTGTTTCTCCTTTTTTATGATTGCTTGTTTTTTCTGTCACATATCCATAGAAAAATGCCAGTGTAAAGCTCTTATATACTGACTATGATTGTATCTTTTCATAACATAACTCCCAAGAAGAAGCCTGCAGCATGTTGTTGTTGTTTTCTCATTTTGAAGGGTCCCAAACCACATTCCACAAACTAAATCAACCAGAAGCAAAAGAATTTCTCACCGCATTGCCAAACAGTAAATAGTGTGTTGAAACACGACCCCAAAACTGTCATACAGGCAGTAATGTTTTTAATGAACGGATGAATTGCTGGCGGCCACATATCTGTGATGATATTGAAGTGAAGGAGTGGCTTGAGTTTTGGTAAAAGATTTGCTGCTGTTTTCAATGTTCATGCTTCATACTGTAAGTTCAAACGCTTGGGGCTGATATGCCCTCGGTTGTATAAAGAATTGTTGTAGTTAGGGAAATGAGCTTGTTTCCCTGTGGAATGCAGTGCCATTAAGCAAATGGACCCTGATGTTGTTGCTATGGTGCTCTTTACTGAGTGGGAGACTTTTGTAAAAGGCCCCAAAGCTGTCATGGATTATGCTACTGCCAGTTGCATTTCTGATTTTTGGAAGGCAGGGTTATGAATTTGCTGCAGATACGTCTGTAATCTTAACTTGTCAGTGGTTTACTGCATCAGCCCATATCTGTGTGTAGACAAGCCTGTATGTGGTTTCAGATAAAAAAGGTGAAGGGTGCTAAAAGCAATGTCTTGACATTTTTGTCCAAATATGTGTTTATTATCGGTATGCTTTGGAAAACTGTAGTACAACGAAACAATTAATTATGCTCTTTGTGTATCTAGAACTAAAGTGTACATGTGGTTTACAGGCTTAAAACAGAAATTAGAAGGTTTTCAAACTGGATATCGCAAGATGATCCACAGAAATTTTAAGAGAAAAAAGATTATCTTACGAAAACAAATAATATTTTTTAGGGCTGTAATAGTTAACTTGCTAACTTTTGAAATTAATTAAATATGATTAACACAATTTAGCACATGCACTGCATTTGACATTATTATGATTTCAATCTAATTTCTAAAGACTGCATGGATCAAGTTTTATTATCATTTTTTTAATATTATATAAACTACTGTTTAAATGTTTGGAGTCATTTTCTTTTTAGAAAATGAATACTTTTATAAAAAAGATGCATTAAATTGATTAAACATGACATTAAAGACTTTTACATTGTTACAAAAAAAATCTAATCCAAATAAATGCTGTTCTTTTGAACTTTCTATTCAAAGAAAAAAATGTATCATGGTTTTCACAAAAACATTAAGTGGCACAACTGTTTTCAACATTAAGACTGAAGTAATAGCTACTGAAAAAACAGCTTCACAGCAGGATTAAATTACATTTTGAAATATTTTAAAATAGAAGACAGTTATTTTAAATTGTAATGATATGATTTTTACGGAACAAAAAAAAAAAAGCCTTGCTGATCATAACAGACTTCTGTCACGATCGCTGCCGGAAGGAACACGGAGCCGTGTCTGTGCCGTAGAAACTACATGGGGAGGCGGCTCAGAAGGAGGACGGACTCCCGGGAGGGGGCCGGCAGACAGAGTCCAGGGAGGTGACGAAGGAGGGAGGAGACAGGAGGGACTTGGAGCAGGAGGGGCCAAGCAGGACCCAGGCCACAGCCATGACAGCGACCCACGGTGGAGCCGACGGAGGGAGGAGCCATGGAGGAATGGCCGCCGACTCCAGGGGGCCGACCAACGGCGGCGGAGCAGGTGGCGGAGGAGCCCGAGGCGGAGA